GATTTGCTATAATTTAATATGACTTAACTATTTATAGAGATTTTACCTTTTTAAAAACTTGTACAGAGGATGTTAAAATAATAGTTGATACTATTTTCCTACTTTTAATGGAGACTTGAGGTTCTTTCTAGTTCTTCATTGTTACAAACTATTGAAAATTTTTGCACATGCTTTTTTGAGCACATGTGCAAGTGATTCTTTAGATAGAAATCAAAGATGTGAAATTATAGGAAAATACTTGCACTAATATTTTAATAATTATTGTCACTGCTTTCTAAAACAGTGGTCCCAATATACTTAAGTTCCTACTGTTAGATGTGAAGATATCTATGTACTCTTCTTGACAATTTGTGTATTATTTTCACCAATCTCATGAATAAAAAATACCTCAAATTTGAAAGAACATTTATAGGAGTATTGTTTGAGTGCAAACACAAAGACCTGGAAACAATTTAAATGTATATTAACAAGAAAATAAGGTAAATAGTGACATGTTCATAAATTAGAATATTATGCAGTAGTCAGAATTAGTGAAATTGATCACTAGTGTTGAGTAAAAAAAGGAAATTGCTAAAAAATACATAAAATAGGATCATTTTTATAAACTTCAAAGACATCCAAAGTTAATGTATTTTGAAGGGAGAGATATATGCATGATAAAGTTAAAAAGGCAAGCCGGCCTTTGTCATTAAGCACAGGCCACTTTCAGAGAGTCAGGACATTTCCGAAGGGCTGGAGATTTCCAAATGGCCTCTCTGTGAGATGGAGACATAGAAGAGTACTGCTTTGCGAAGGCTGTTTTATCTGTCCTTGCTATTCAAGTTTTGACAATACAGGCTTGTAGGAATGTAATTTTTTATTCTTTATAAGAAATTTTGTGCATTGTTGTACTTAAGAATATGGTTTAAACATGCATATTCTCTGGGAGTGTTGAATCACTGTTAATTATGCTTTTGGATGTTTTTGATTACTTTTTAAATTATATAATTCTTTTTTCAGACAATCTTGAAATACTCATTATAAAAGAATAACATGGAATGGTTATTAAAGAAGAGAACTTGATAAAATGGAAAGAGCAGGGGCTTTGGAGTGCAACAGACCTAAGTTGAAAGTTTGCTTTTCCACTTAGTTGCTCTACTTTATCATCTCCTATTTACAACCTCCTTCTTGAAACTATACCTGATCAGTTGCTTAGTATCTAGTGTTATTATCATTGTTGTTAAAATCTGTAGGGAATGGTGTTAAAACAGTTTGTAGAATTAAGAACAAACAAGGTGCTTGTAGATTTCAAAAGGATCCCTGTTCTTTGGTTACAGTCGAAGCTATCTGTGTCTCCCTGTAAAAATTTGTGTGATGATAGTCAACATTGCCTGTAATTATTATTCTTAAATAGGTTTATTGACATAATTCATAGGCCATAAATCGTGCCCTTATAAAGTATTTTTTTTTTTTTAGTGGTTTGGTAGATTTTAATATATAATTATAGTATTGTGTATCCATTACCACTCTCTAATTCCAGAATAATTTCCTTACAAAAAATAAACTTAGTACCCATCAGCAATCACTCCCCATTCCTCCCCTTTAGCTTCTGGAATAACTAATTTATTTTCTTTCTCCATGGATTTGCCCATTCTGGATATTTCATATAAATGGAATTGTACAATTCATAGCCATTTTTCTTTCTCTCTCTCTTTTTTTCACTTAACAGTGATGTTTTCAAGATTCATCCATGTTGTATCAGTACTGCATTCCTGTTTATTGCTGAACTAGAGGCCCAGTGTACTATATTATATACTTGAACATTGCTAAGAAAGGAGATCTTAGATGTTCTCACACACAAAATTTTTTTTATTATTATATGGCATAATGCAGGTATTAGCTAAGGCTGAGGTTGTAATCACTTTACAATATATAAGTGAATCAAATGTACACATCGTATACCTTAAACTTACATGATGTTATATATCAGTAATAACCCAATACAGCTGGGGGTGGAGGAAGACACCAATAAGTGAAAAGGAAACCCCAGAATGAGAGAAAATATTTGTAAATCATATATCTGATAAGGGACTTGTATTCAGAATATAGTATAAAGAACTCTTACAACTCAACAACAAAAAGACAACCCAAATTTTAAAATGAGCAAAGGGTTTGAACAGGAAGTTCTCCAAAGAAGATATACAAATGGTGAATAAAGACATGAAAAGAAGCTCAACAGCACTAGTCATTAGGGAAATGCAAATCACACACACAGTGAGATAACATTTCACACCCACTTGGATGGCTATAATAAAAAAGTTGGTCAATTACAGGTATTGGGAAGGGTATGGAGAAATTGGAATCTCATACATTGCTGATAGGAATGTAAAATGGTACAGACGCTTTGGAAACAGTTGATAGTCCCTGAAAATGTTAAAACAGATTTACCATATGACCCAGCAATTTTACACCTAGGTATAAGCAAGAAAATGAAACTGTATGTCCACCCAAAACCTTGTTCACAAATGTTCACAGCATCATTATTTTATAATAGCCAAAAAAGTAGAAACAATCCAAATGTTCATGAGTTGATAGTGGACATTGTGATATCCTATATAATAAAGAGGTAATTTGCAAACTGACCATCACTCCAACACACAAGATGGCCACCACAAGATGGCCAGCAGGGGAGGACAGTTGGGAGGAACCAGGCCTGTAAGGTAGGGAAGTTGGGGGTGATCAGGCCTGTAGGGGAGGGCAATTAGGGGTGACTGGGCCGGAAGAGGGCAGTTGGAAGGGACAGGCCTGCAAGGGAAGGCAGTTAAGGGCAATTGGGCTAGCAGGGGAGCAGTTAGGCATCGATCAGGCTGGCAGGGGAGTGGTTAGGGGTAAACAGGCTGGAAAGCAGAAGGGGTTAGGGGCAATCAGGCAGGCAGGCAGGCAGGCGAGTGGTTGGGAGCCAGCAGTCATGGAATGTGAGAGGGATCCCAGATTAGAGAGGGTGCAGGCTGGGCTGAGTTTCGTGCATGAATTTCGTGCACTGGACCTCTAGTATATCTATAATTGAATATTATCCTATACAAGAAAAGGCTAATATGCAAAATTTTGGTTAAATCCAATTTACCTATTTTTTTCTTTATTTCTGGTTTTGGTGTCATATTGAAGAAACTATTACCTAATCAAAGGCCATGAAGATTTACTCCTGTGTTTAAGAGTTCTGTGGTGTTAAGTCTATGATGTATTTTGAATTAATTTTGTATATGTTCTGAGATAGAGTACCAACTTCATTCTTTTACATGGGAATATTCAGTTGTCCCATCGTCATTTGTTGAAAGGATACTTTGTCCTCCATTGATTTTTTTTTCTTCTTCTTGGCATCCTATCAAAACTCAATTTATTTTAACTAAAGATTTACTTTGAGACTTCCAGTAATGTTTCATTGGTCTATATGTCTGTCCTTATGCCAGTATTACACTACATTGATTACTGAACTTTGTAGTAAACTTTGAAATCAGAAAGTATGAGTCCTTCGAACTTTGCACTTTTTTCTCAAGATTATTTTGGCACCTGCGCTTTTTTAAGGCAGTTACCTTTTTGTGTGTTTTCTGTAGAGAGACTTAATTTATAAATGTCCAGAAAAAGATTTAGGAATAAAAAAAGAGCGCCAGATTATCTATGATTGAATCAGCGACTAAATGCCCAAATAATTTCTGGTTATTGAACTCCATTTATTTATTTACACATTATTTTGGGTGTTCATCATGTGTTAGACACTGCTAAATCGTAGGAAAACCATGATGAACAAGACATGGGGTCTGCAGGTGAGCTTAAGTTGAATCCTGGCTTTCAAGTTTTTGAAAGGAGTGTGGACTTTGATTATAAATGCTATGGATATGAACAAAGCAGATGCACCATTAGGTTGAAAGTTTACACTCTTTTTATGAAAGCCCTATCAATAAAAGTTCTTCTTATTCTGCTAGTAGGGATGCAAGTACAAATGGATGGAAGAGTATGAGGGTCTTTCAGGTAGCTGTGTTGAGCACTTGGAAGAAAAAATTACAAGAGCACCATAAGCTCTTATTTACACCTTTGTGTGTACCTCCCATTTAAAAGTTCCCTTGAAGGAAAGGGACTTGTTTTTTGTGGGTGGTTTTTTTTTTTCATCTTTCTTACTTTGAGCCATTAAACAGTGTTTTGAAAATATAGGTATTCAATATATGTTGACCTAATGATTGAATAGGTCCAGTAAGCCATAAATAAGTGCTCATATTGTATGACCCTATACTAAGTTAGGGCTTGTATGGTTTGTATTAACTATCACTCTTGCCCTCAAAGATCTAGATTTAATGATTAATGTGAATATGAGACACTGAATATGATACACCTTTACAAAAATAAGATCTATTGAGTCATAAGTAACATGAAAATTAAATTGTATAAGTAACTTAAACAAATTTTAACAAGTATGCATGTTAGGAGTTACTGGAGTCCACAACATAATATAGGGTGTTAGAGGAAGTCTGGAACAGAGGTGGAATTTCATCCAGATTTAAAAGAACAGATTAGTAGAAGGAAGGGCTAAAACTTTTCGGGGCTAGAGGTAGTTCTCAGTAGAGGTAGTACTGTCGCCTTTCCAACCAGAGACTTTTGGAAATGTGTGAACATTTTGGGTTGTCCTGGTTTCAGTACTTCTACTGGCTTTAGTGGTTAGGGGCCAGGGATGCTAAAGTCCCACAGTGTGAGGGTAGGAATGGTTTGGCCCCAAATCCCAGTAGCTACGTGGTTGATATACTGGTATACTGGGAAAGAAATAGATTTATCTGAACAAGGAGGATTTGTAAGCAAATAATGGTTTTCTTATGTGTTTGATTTTGTGGATTCTGAACTGGGAAATGTTTGTAGTTAGCTAGAGTGGAATATAGCAACAGAGCATCTTAGGGTCTGGTCAGGGATTTATATTTCATCAATTTGGATTATTCTTAACATTTTCTTATAGTTTTCCTTTCTTTTCCTTCTTGTAGAACGAGCCTCTGACCCCAGGTTATCATGGATTCCCAGCACGGGACAGCCAGGTTGGTATCTGCTATTTATAACTCAGATGATGTGTATGTGTGTGTCTGTGTGTGTGTAACTAAGGATGCTATGATAGCCAGCATGTCCTGAAATTATTTATTTTGGAGAGTGATATGGTTAAAAGTATTGTAATCACCTTATTGAAATTGTGGATATTATAGGGGGAAAAATCACTCAAGTGCAATCATAATTGCTTTTATTTTTCTTCTCCAGGCTTTATAATAATTTTAAACTAGGTTTTCTTGGTGCCTCATAATTCTAAATGCTGGATTTGTCTCTTTATCCTCTGTTACTTAGCTGCTACTTGCACAATTTTTTTTAGTCCTGCAATAATCTGCAACAAGAAAATTCCATTCTCCTCCCTGGGGAATTCAGCCATATGGTTTTAATCAGGGAAGGCTTGCTTGTGGAAGGGAAGTTTCTGCTGTCTTTCTTTGTTAGATAGGGAGGACCGCTGGAAAGAGCCCAGGCCCTATTGTGGGCCAGCGCAGAACTGCATCCTACGGGACATCCTCTGTCTGGTTTAGGTGAGTGTATAAAATGCCTTCCCTGTCCTTTGCTATTTGAAGCTTTGAGCAGATGAGGCTGGAGCAGAGTTAGGGCAGAAGAATGGGTAAGGCTGCTTCAGACAGATCGTATGGCTTAAGACACCTAGTCTTTGAAATTTACCTCCTTGACATTCTTTTAAAAAAATCTTATTTATTTATTTAATTATTTAATTATTTATTTATTGAGAGAGAGAGATAGAGAGAGAGAAAGAGAGATTGATTTGTCGTTCTACTTACTTATGCATTTACTGGTTGATTCTTGTATGTGCCACCATTATTAGACTTGTCCAAGGGATATGTGTCATCAGAATGCTAACCCAAAGTTGACACAGTTCCCCTTTCTAGGAATTACTTGAACCTCATCAAAGCCCCTGCAGCTGATTTTAAAAACTAGGATGGCCCCATAATCAGTAGTCACCTCTGGGGGGAGGGGTTTCCAGATTTGAGAGGATCTGCCCAGTTCTCACCCTTTTGGTGCTGGATTGTCATCACAAGGGCCCTAGGGAGAATTGGAGAACAAGGGAGATAAAGTGCTGCTCACCTCTGTTTATCTCTATGAGATCATTGCTGTTGGAATTTAAGATGGTCTCTGGAAGTTTTCAGTGAAAGATGGGGTCATTTACTTCATATCCAAAGAGTATAGAGTTTGGGTTTGCTCTAGAGATTCTGTAAGCTTTAAAATATATGTCCTTAGATAGTAGTTCTATATCATGTTCATATATCAGAAAAATATTGTTGCCTGAAAATCTAGCCCTCAGGAGTCTGATTGAGTAGGCCTAAGATTGGGCTTTGTTATTCAGATATATAGCAATTCCTATAGGGGATTCTGGTAAGCAAATCAAGGTCTGTGGGCTGCTTTAAAGGAGTGATATTTTCTATTTCTGTGCTTTTCACCTATGACTCTTAAAGTAGAAGGGGTCACAGGAAGTCTCTTAATCTAATCTTGCATACTGATACATGTATTTAATTATTTACAAAGTGTTTATTGTTTTGCATGCAGGCTGATTTTAAATATACAAAGATAAAACTAATTGAAGTGTAAAGTATGGGAATAGACTTACTGAGTTTAAAAGAATCTGAAAGGGTACTGTATAATGCTCTGATCTTCCTGTGGACATTACAGATCAATAAGGAGTCAAGCAAAAGGAATGAAGAAGAATTTGTTAAAGCACAAAAAAGTAGAGGCTTTGCTTGGAGCTACTTATTTTCTCTTCTTTTGCAGCAGGAGCCCACCTCTGTAACCTGTGCGTTCAGTACTTACACTACTTCTGCTCTAGGCCTGTGCAGACCCTTTGCCATGTGTAAAGCTTCTCATTCACTTTGAGGCACATTCTGATGGGAACAGGTTTATTTTAGTTTATTTTCCTGTTCTCTGGCCAAATCTTTGAATTCGAGATCTTAGAGTAGTGTGAATAAGCAAATATTGAATAGCTGCTTGTTTTATTTGATGAATACAGAATCCAAATGAGTACTGCTAATTAATGCGCCTAACCTTATGAACTCTCACTTTGTGCTCTGAGACTTGGGAAGCATTTATCAGTGTGAAACACTGGTCACTGAGCAGCCTGAGCTGGGCAGAGACTGAACTTGTGATCTTTACATCTCCCCAGAGTGGTTTGGCTCAGCAAATCCAGGAGTTGGGAAGTGGGAGGAAGTTGAATTTTAATTGTGTCATTATTTGCATCCTTTAATTCTTTTACTGTTCCTTTCTAGGTAGATAGGAGCCATCCCCAGGCAGGCTTTTTATCAGCATCTACTGGTGATTTTAAAAGAGATAAAAATTACAGTTTTTTGATTGGTGCAGAGCACTTTCATCAAAATTTTCTCATCCTCACAACCACCTTTTGAAGTAAATAAAACAAATATTACCTTTGGAAAAATAAGGAAACTGAGGCACACAGAGATTAAAATGATTTAGTCAAGGTAACAGTGCAAGCTAGTAGCTGAATAAGAACTAAAATTTGTCTTATTTGTTGAGGGCCCCTTCCTCTATATGGGGAATTATTGATTCACCCAAGGGAAAATATAGTCATGTGCATGTGTGCCCTCTCACTCAGTATACCATTTGGGGGCTTCATAGGCCCTTTGCAGCTCAACCTTAGATCTAGGAGTGTATGGCCTGTGATTAAAGATTATTACAACCAAGTTCTGTAGCACAAAGTAGACTAACATCTCACTGTTTTAATGACCCTTTTCATGCTATTTTCAAGTCCCTGGCAGCAAACTTGAATTAAAACCTGTGAAGGAAAGGAGGGGGGAAAAGACCCACCACCTTGTAGAGGTTTTGCTTTTTTATGCAAGGTCACCTTGGTCTTCTTTCCCAATGAATTAACAAGCTTTATGAGTTGGCAGTCCATTGCTTTTAGGAAGCACTCCAAGCACTTTACTGTGCATGCTAATGTGATCTCTTTATGGAAGTGGAGGAGACAAACATTGTTCCAGATTTACTGAGGTGAAAACCAGCTCAGAAGGCTGAGTGTTTTATCGGAGGCTCTGCAGAATTTTAGGTTGGTACAAGGTAATGGTTTAGATTCCTCGCTGGCAGTTTCTTTGTGATTTATGTGTATGTGCATGTGCTTACGTGAGCCCTCAAGTGTTGACTAAGGCTGGAATATTTTGTGGATTTGTAATATATTTTAAATGACAGAGTATTTGTGTGCATTAGCTCCAGAGTTTTTATATAGGAGAGGTTTAGGAGCAACCATCTGATTAGCGTTAGTTCTGCATAGCAAGCTTACTGTTTTTGCTAACATTGTTTATTTGTGATGGCTTTCAGGGGCTCCTGGAACATACAATGGGAATCCTAAGACCAACCCCTTGCCATCTTTTGGTTCTAAGCACTGTGATATTTTAATTCCATTAAACATTGTTGATATGACCTACAGATGATTGACTAAAATTTATTTCCTTCCTGACCCACTAATAAATTGCAGTGTATAGTTTTATAAACAAAATTCTAATAATTGTTGTCCTTAAAAATGTAGCCTTGGCCGAGACCCGTTTGGCTCAGTGGATAGAGCGTCAGCCTGCGGACTGAAAGGTCCCAGGTTCGATTCCGGTCAAGGGCATGTACCTTGGTTGCGCGCATGTACCTTGGTTGTGGGCACATCCCCAGTAAGGGGTGTGCAAGAGGCAGCTGATCGATGTTTCTCTCTCATCGATGTTTCTCTCTCATCGATGTTTCTAACTCTCTATCCCTCTCTCTTCCTCTCTGTAAAAAATCAATAAAATATATTTTTTAAAAATGTTAAATCATGGCCATGGAAGGTATTATTTGTTAAAAAAAAAAAAAAAGTACCCTGAAGAAACCTCATCCCCTTTCCCTATTTCCTATCCCTTCACCTTAGCTTTCAGTAACTGCTAATCTTTCTGTCTCTGTGTATTTACCTATTCTGGATATTTCATATAAATGGAATCATACAATATCTGGTCTTTTGTGAGTGGCTTCTTTCATTTGGCATAGTGTTTTCAAGGTTCATCATACACTAGCATGAGTCAGTATTCATTCCTTTTGGGGAGGGGGGCAGAATAGTATCCCACCATATGGGTTGGTATCGGAGCATTCTTAGGGTAACCTACTGCCTATCTCTGTAATTCTGACTCCTGCAGCTCTTATAATTGGCTTCAACCTCATTGGCCATTCTTTTCATTCTTGAACTCATCAAGCTTGGTCCTAGCTTCAGGCCTGTGGAACCACTGTCTCCTCCACCGTTAGACCGGCAGTAATCATCACCAGATCCTTACCACCTTTTTATTCAGGTCACAGAGAAAAGCCTTCTCTGATTGTACCAACCTAAAGTTGTCCACATAACTGACAGCTCAGTGTTACCTTCTTCACATTTCTAATCATTATCTGAGGTTGTCTAGTGCAGGTACTTTATTGTCTGTCTCTCCCACTAAAATAGAAGTTCTGCGCAAGCTGTGACTTTGATTAGAACAGAGCCTGGTGTGTAGGGGAAGATCAATACATGTTTGTTGAATGAATAAATGAATATTGTCCTCAATTTAATGCTAAGCCTTTAAAGGTTTTCAGCAGGGAAGTGACACGATCTATTTTACATTTTTAAAAACAACATACTGGTTGCAGTGAAGAATGAATTTTAGAAGGGACCCTTCTTCCCCAAATGCAGCCTAGATTGTCTAGACTCTAGGCAATAAATTTATCATTTGCTGTGCTAAATATTGATTCCAGCTAGAACTTATTTGTTGAGTGAGAAATTCTTTTTCACCCCCCTCTCCCAAGTGGAGACTAGATTAAAATGACTGGTTCAGAAGCAAAGTGTTTCATACCTCTTTTTGTGTCTCATAGTATATAATAATTTTCTTATTGGTCCCCTAGATTCATTGTATTTATTCAGTGCTTTTATGAACTAAAATTTTTGCCTTTCAATTATAGAAAGTATGAAACCATTTTCTTTTCTTTCTACTAGGTCAGTGGTCGGCAAACTCAT